CACACACACACACACACACACACACACACACACACACACACACACACACACACACAATAATGTAGACAAACGTCTGTAAACACTTTAGAGACATCGGGCAAAGATTAAATATAATCCTCAGGAATATAATCAGTTGTCTGTCAGTGCCAGTTATAGCTGATGTTCATTATCCACCAGCACCAAATAGGATTATATCATTACATTTTTATTTTATTAGAGTTTCCAATATTTTAATCTTGTAAAAATATTACCTCTAATTTCATAACAGAACTGAGAGGATTAAGTTTTAAAGTGGTCTGTGGAGAAACAGGCAGATATAGTGTTTTGGTTAAAACATTTTTTTTAAATATAATCAATAATTACAGTATCTACAGGTGATTTTAATGAAATATCTGAGCAAGAATATGTCAAGAATATAAGAAACTGGCTGTGTCCAGGGTTCCCACAGATCCTTAAAAAGTCTTAAAAGGCATTGAATTTGTTGATCCAAAATTAAGGCCTCAGTTAGCCTTAAAATATCTTAAATCAATCTATCAGAAGTCTTAAAAATGTTAACACATTGTAAATAGGATGATTGTAATTCATCTCCAATATTAAAATAATTGGTAACGTTTATTTATTTTTTTAAACATTCACATGCAGACATTCCTCTTTGACATCACTTCCTGTTGCTTCACATGCAAATATCACTACAACTGTCCATCTGAGCAACGTGAAATTAGTTTCATAATATGTGTAGTAATGTTGTCTTTCCAAAAGTGAATTCACATTTCTTACAAAAAAATTGATGTCGCAGACACTTTAAGGTTTCATCTACAGCAGATTGGGGTTGAGACCCCACTGTGGGTCCTAAAACTCCAACTTTTGGATCGTTAGAGAATTTCCAGGATTTAAATGAATGTTTTTGTTATATTTGACAAAAAAGCAGTTAGATGTGGTTAAAAACAATTGGTTTATTACGAATATTTGAATACTTCAACCAAAAACGCTTTAATTCATGAGTTTCTGCCAGTTTCTTTTTTTTTTGTCCCATGTGTTTATTGTGAAATTGGTCTTAAATTTAATTTCATTTGGCATTAAAATATCTTAAAAAGTCTTAAATTTAACTTGCTTTAAACTTTAGGGATCCTGGTGTCTCAGTTCATGGGTTGCAGCTGACGTGGGGCGCATTTGTCCAGTTTGTAGGCACCGACTCACGCGGTCGACAAAACCCCGAAGACGTTGGCTGCTTCTGATTATCCTACATGTCTCACGGTATCCCAGAATTCATTGCGCCAYCAGCAAATTAAACAAAAATACAAACAGAGGTTTTATTTCAATTTCACGGCAGAGTTTGGAAATTCATCACGGACCGAAGAAGTTAAAAAACCTAGCTGAAGAAACTGTTGTTGTGATGAGATGTTGAATAAAATGCAGTTAGAAGCACTGATACTGGAGCTAAACTCTAATTATTATTATGTAAAAATAAGAATAAATCTTTTGATGAGACGGAACTGAAACAAAGCTTTTTTTAAACCAATAAAAAAAAGCTCCTTGTGTGCTACCTTGTTTTTCCTCACGACGTTTGACAAAGTTTGTGTGTTAAAGCTGACTTTTGGTTGTGTGTTTGTTGCTCACCAGGGCGTTCGCTCGAGAAATGCTGGCGAGAAAGATCGGCGTGGTCGTGGTTGGTTTTCCAGCCACGCCCATCGCAGAAGCCAGGGCTCGCTTTTGTGTTTCTGCCGCGCACACGAGAGACATGCTGGACCAGGTAAACACACACACACACACACACACACACACACACACACACACACACACACACACACACA